GTGACCTGCTCTGGGCTGATTTAGTTTCCATACATGTGTGGGTCACGTGAGGGAATATCTACTCTGCTCCTTTGCTCTACTTGTCTGCCCCTGAACTAACAACAGCCTTTCTTAACTGTGATATCTCATAAGAAGGCTTACTATCCGATAGTGCAAATCACTTCTCCAAAAACTTTGTTCTCCAAATTGGTCTTGGCTACTATTGAGCTTTGCTCTTCCTTATTCTAGTTAGGAACCATCTGTCAAGTCTCACAAAAGCTCTGCTAGGAATTTGGTTGCACCTGCATTAAATTTAAAGATAGATAAACCTGGGAAAACATGACATCTCCACTTTATTCCATCTTCTGATCCACGATCATAGCATAGCTCTCCACTTATTCTGGTTGTTTTTACACTCTTTAACAACATCCTATAATGTCTGGTAATCTTGAATTTATTCCTGGACACCCTATAATTTTTGTTACTATTATAAATGGGATTTCTTTTTACATTACATTTCCTGATTATTTTCTCTTGGTGTACAAGAATACTATTACATTTTATATGTGGATCTCACATTATATCTGCTATCTTGTGAACTCTTACTCGTTTTACAAGTTTGTGTACCTGCGTGGATTTTCTATTTAGACAATCATGTTATTTGCAAACAGACACAGATTTTATTTCTTCCTTTCCAATGTTTACTTTTTTGTTTCTTTGTTTGCTTCTTTTATTACACTGGCCAAGACCACCAGGGACAGTGGGGACCCTTGTCTGAGTTCAGATTTTCATGGATGTGATTCTAGTATTTCTCCATTATGTATGATGCATGCAGGTTTCTGACAAATAAACTTAACAAGTTAAGGAGGTTTCTTTTCAATATTGGTTTGGTAAGAGTTTTGTTGTTATTATTTGTTATGTATTATAAATAAGTATTATAATGTGTATTATGTATATGTATTATAATATTCTTTTTCTATCTGGTAATCATTTTTCCCCCTTTAATTTTTTGACATGTTGAATGTGTTCATAGTGTTAAGATAGTAAACCACCCTTGTATTATTATAATACACCCAACTTGGTCATAACATTTATGTTTTTATATTTCATTTTTAAAAACTGCTGAATTTATTAGTGTTTTACTCAGACATTTTTGTTTTATGTTAACATGTAAAATGGGCCTATTATTTTGATTTCTTCTACCAACTGTCTGAAAGCTATACAGACATGGCAGTGGAAGAGCTCTTGTCCTGTCAGCATACAGGGAGAAACTATTTGTTCTCTGAAAGTTTCATAACACTCATCTGCAAACAGCTTGAATATTTCTGAGGGGGCAGTGTTGATTACTGACTTTATTTCTTCCAGAGCTATTTCTCTATTAAGATTTTATATCTCTTCAAGAGTCAATTTTGTTTTTACATTTTTGCAATAAATCATCCACTTCCTTCAGATTTTCACATTTGGTGTTCACAGTTTTCATGTTGTTTTAAAAACTCTCTAATGTGCTCTTAATGTGGTTTTCCTGGGCACCTTTCTCTCCCTTAGCATCTGTGCTAAAGCTTTGCCATCATGGTACCTTTTATAAGATTAGCTTCTGACTTTGTTCCTATTGATATTTTATTTCAATAATTTTTGATTTTAATCTTTGTAATTAATTCCTCCTACATTCCTTACACTTATTCAATTTTCATTTTTCTAATTGCAATTTTTCTTCTTTTTGAAGCTTAGAAATTTAGCCTTACACGCCACTTTCGCAGGATTATACGACTTTCAGCCTGTAGTACATTCATTTTCATTCAGTTCTAAATGATATTTCCATTGCGATTTCCTCTTTAACTCACAAGTAAAATAAGGGTGTGTTTTAAAGTTTCCACACACATGTTGATGTGTTTTGTTTTGAACTTTTTTATGTTGACATCTGATTTATTCACACTGGGTCAAAGAACGTGGCTTGCGTGAAATAGATTGCTTAAAATTTAGTGCAACTTCCCATATATGGTCAACTTTTCGAAAAGTTACACAGGTTGTAGAAAGAATCAAGAGTCTCTGTTCGGTGGAGGGTTCTACGTGTCTCTATTAATTTGAGCCTACTAATAATGTTATCAATATACTTAGAATTACTTCCACTACCTTATTTTGTATTTTCTGTTTGACACCCTTTTTCCTTTCAAATTCTTGCTTTTAATTCCTTTTCTCATGGCTGTTGTTTGATTGTTGTTGTTGCTTTAATATACATTCCCTTATATCTTTTCCTGCTAGGTGAGAAACTACAGATTAGAGGCACTTTCTTTCAGTAATTACAGTCAATCCTTTAAAATAACATAGTAAGTATACTTTTTTGCTAATGGGATCCCAAGTTATTCTACATTTTACTTCTCCTGACCGAGGCCTTATAATGACATGACCCCTCACTGAGCAACCTCTCTCCTAAAAGATAAACGCACGTTCCCATGTTCTTACGATCTGGAGTTTTCACTGAACCTTCTCTGAACAACGAACTCATCTGGATCACACTCGCAACACTGCCTCGACTTCCGCTTTCCTCAGTGTTCACACTCCTGCCTACAGCAGCGCTTGTGCCCATTCATTTAGAGAGGATCGCTTGCGACACATTTTCTCAATCTTTGTCTGAAAAAGCTTTACTTTGCCTCACTGGTCAGGACACGCTGCTGTGGATTTCGGGATGGACAGGCATGTCCCCTCAGCACTCAGTGCGCTGCATGGTCTCCTGGCCCGCGTCTGCATCAGCCCAACAGCGGCTCCTGTGTGAGGAAATCTGTTTCTGGAACAGCGCTTAGGGTTTTAGATGTGGACTAGTCTCCGTGTTCCTCATGAGTCGTTTGAGCAGTTTGGGGACCATGTCTTCCTTCAGCTCCGACAGCACCTGCCAGGAGAGCGGCGTGCTCTCCTCCGACCGGGGGCGTGTGCGTCCGACTGTGTGCGGCCCGTGCTCCAGCCAGCCGACCCCCGCAGGACCCGCTTCCAGACCTTTACCCCCTTTAGATGGAACTCAGCGTTTTTAAAATGTCAATAACTGTCTATTTCACTTCCAAAATTTCTAATGAACACTTTTTCATACCCTCCTATTCTTGCTTCATTTCCTCCTGTTGGTCTTTCATACGTTCTTGCCTGGCTTTACAGACATTACTCTCCCGGGTGTCTGAGCATTACACACACATTTATTTCAAAGCCTCTGTCAGACTTATTTTTGTTGCACTGGGGCTAAATTGGTAATCTGTTGATTTTGTTAGCTGTACTGTATTTCTTAGCATGGTATTGCTTCGTGTGTTTCAGAATGTTGGTTTGCAGACTCATTTTAGGTGGGTTGTTTTTTCTTTTCTACTATCTTTCCTGCCTACTTCTCCCCTTCGAGTGGTCTGGTCAGGGCAGTCTGGGGCAGCTGCTCAGTTTAGCTCTGGCTGCAAGGCTCTGCCAGCTCTGCCTGGTTGCCTGGCCATGAGTTCACACAGACTGCAGCCGCTCCCAGGTAGTATCCTTTGTCTAGAATCTTTCAAGAGCAGGGAACCCCCACCCCCGGCTCCTGCCTTGATGCAGTGATGGAAGAGGGCAGCCTCAGCCCTTCCCCTTCCCTGGGACCTGACCCGACAGCCATCGGTGGCCACTGTGGAACCCGTCGCCCCACGGGATGGCACTGCTCCCTGCTCTGTTAGTGCCTACGTCTGAGTCAGACTGAGTCTTGTTGGTTTTCCTATCTTATATGCTATGTGTGTAGAGATTAAGAAGTGGTCAATGTCATAGGTGTACTTAAAAATATAAACTCTCTGGGTCACTGAGCAGAAGTAGGGTTTAAGGTAGAGAAGTGTTCATTTATTCCTTTAAGCCCCATTTCAGCTGCTGGGATACACTGGGAGCCCAGTTTCCACCCTCTTGATTTGTGGCTCCACACAGAAAAGACAATCAGCTCTCTTCTGCATGCGGTACGCAATCTGTGCTGCAAATTTCCCTTAATGGCACTACCTTGATATCTATGGGAAATCTGAGTTTACAATTTAAAAATAAAGGACAAGACATAAGCTTTAAAAATTTCTTTCAGTGTAATTTTTTCTAATTTTCTAATTAAAGTATTAACAGATTGTTCTATGAATATTAATACAAAAACTTAAATTATTTCCATTTAAATGAGATAATTTGTAAGCCATACAATGTAACAAGTTGAAATTGTCTCAAGTTTCAAAGCCAATACTAAGAAACTAGTACCCTCTCCACTGTATCACATCATTTGAAAGTTTTCTAAAAGACAACCCTAAAATTCCATTTGCCACAGAAAATCCTGACTGCTTTTGTGAATCTTTTAATACTTGAAAAAACATTTCTGTCTGTGACCTCAGGATCAGATCCCAGCTTTTATTTGTGCTGAATATCATCCTCTTTTTCATTAAATAATTTTTAAAAATCGGATTATTCTAATTTCCACCAGCTCTAACCCTTATGACTTCTTGTACTTAACTCTCCAATAACCCAAACAATGAGCCATGTGCATCCCCCAGGCTCTCACCCTCAGACTCCCCATCCTGCACCAAGCTCCCATCTATTGGACCTGATTACTGAATACCCTTTGCATCCATTTAGTCCTTTCCTTTCTTTCCCATGGTGACCCCATCAGAAATTAAACAGAAGGAACAAAGGAATCAGAGAAAGGTAGAGAAATGCCAAGAGTACATACATGTAAAATCAGCTTAATTGACAACAAAAATGCTCAAATTGAGAGGATTCCCCCAGGGGGGAAACCTCAGTATACACCCTCAAGTCACCTTTAAGTGGAATCCTAGATAACTCATATGAAACAGATCTTTAAGTTTTGTTCACCGAAGTCTGTTAATTGAAAGGAAATACATGAAATCAGAACCAAGTATCTTTCTCTATTTCTCTACTTTCAAATTCATTTTCCTTAAGGCATCTTATTCTATCAGTATCCGACACGACTGCTCAGAACATAAGGTCCCGGCGCTGCTGCGGAGCTGCAGCCGGGAATGCTCCTGGGTTTTTTCACTCCCTCCTACCTTGGTGACTTGAAATTCGGTCAGACTGTGCTGGGAACTCAGGTCCTGTCAGGTCCCGTGGACTGGGAGGTGTCTGTTCCACGTTGTCCTAAAAGGACCACAACAGAGAAGTCATGAGTTCAAAAGAAGCATTCTACACTTTTCAACATCCAGCATCCCTGGCATTTCCTTTCTTGGCCAATTCCTTACTTGCTTTCCATTTATTTACTTTTTAGTGTTCAATGACAGATGTTGAAAATATGCTGCATAAGGAAAGCTAATCGTGAAAAGGTGCAACCTGTTCAGCAAAGGAGTTAGAAGAAACGTTATTCTTGTTATTGGGCTTACACATCTTTCCCTGAATAGCAATTCAAAAAGAATTATTGTCAACTGCTCAATTTAGGCAAAGAATATAAATAATTAACATTCCATGGAGCACATGCTTCTATAACAATTACAGGTAACCAAGCATTGGTCCTGTTACCTGGGACAGAAGCATCCAGAGAGTGTTTTATAAATGACTCCCTCCACAAAGCATAAGGAGGAGCTTGGTGGCATGTTTTAGACAACAGGATGAGGAGGTCCCAAGCCCACAATTCTAGAAAAACATCTTCATGGGAACATAAGCCAATAAAAGATACATTAAATGTGAAAACAGGAAATGTTCCTTTTAATATTTATATGCTTATCAAAAACACCAGCAGTGGGCTGGGGAGGTGGCTCACGCCTGTATTTCCAGCAACTTGGGAAGCTGAGGCAGGAGAATGATTTGAGGCCAGGAGTTCAAGGCTACAATGAGCTATAATCATGCCACTGAACTCCAGCCTGAGCAAAACAGCTAGACCCCATCTCTGAAACAAAAATATTACCAGTGATTAACTTGGGGTGGGGAGATGTCAATTTTCTCTCACAGGTTTGTGAAATCTTTGAGATCTTTATAATGCACATGTATTACCTCTGAATCAGAAAGTTGTGAACTGTGCCAAAAGTACAAGATCTGCACTAAAACTTACTATTAACATATACATTGTCACAATTTTGGAAGTCGACTTCAACAACTTTGTTCCTACTCATGGTTCCTATTCATGCAAAAGGAAGCACGGAATTGCACATGGCAGCATGTGAAACATCTGGCATGCAAGGGTGCTCACAACAGCCAACATGCACACGGAGCTCCTTCTGCCAGGCGAGGCTCCCACTCCCAGAGCCACTGAGGCAAGGTAAGGTGAGCTCCCTCACGCCCACCTGCACCCAGTGGGTCCCAGCTGTCCTGGGACCCGAGTGTGAGCAGTCCGGCTGCAGAGCCCATGCTCTTCCCCCACACAGTGCAGCGCCCACACTGCCCAGGAAACTCAAAAAAGCACATGGAATTCAACGCGGTGCCAGCACAGCAGGACTGTGCCCTGTTCTTTACTGCCGAATACTTCCCAGCAAGCGGCTTCTCGCCCAGAGCCCTCCTTGCTCACGCATGGAATGGGATGCGAGCTGACCTCTCTCTGCGCGTGCACACTGACCTGCAAGCAAACAGGTTCAGGGCTGGTCAACGCCGCGCTCTGGGGCCACTCACAGCGGGGGGGCAGAGGGGAGCCTGGGCAGAGTCCAGAAGGACACGCTCACCCACATCTACCACCGAGAAGAAGAGTGTTGTTTCCTAGGGACGCAAAGTCGAGTTCACACCTTCCTCCAGAAAATCTGGAGAAAACAAAACAAAACAAAGCCCTAAGGAATAGAAGACATTTTCACTGGCTTCTCTCTCTCTCTTCCCCGTTTGAAAGAAATGGCTTTCTTTTAATCATGGATGTAAAACTTGTCAACTATGAAAATCTTGATGTTAAAAACAAAATATGAAGAAAAAAATCAAAACAAACATCTCTCTGCTCTCACGACCAGGGGTTACCCTATCGGTTTTTAGTACACTCTTTCAGAAAAACAAAAACAAAAACCTCACTATGTGCATATATGCAGTGTTTGAATTATTGAGCACATGTATGCTCTATATGAATCACGTAGGGGTTACCAACGATCCTGATAAAATATGGAATCATAATCATATTCCACATACTGTACTTCAGTACTGGATTTTTAAATTTTCCATGACATCAAAAATAATCTCCATCGGCACTCCAGCACAGCCCCGGAGTGGATGTGTAGTGTCATTTATTTAACCAATATCTTGGTGGTGAGCACATAGGTTGTGGAGAATGTAAGCTTTTAGGAAAGAGGGGAGGGATGGCTGGGAGGACAGGAGTCTGGCGGCAAGGGCAGAGCCCCAGCACCCCGCAGAGGACCCAGGAGGGAGCTGGGCTCTCCGGGTTGGCAGGGAATGTGATCGCCCCAGCCCTCCCCAGCGGGTCTCCCCTCCTAGCCTGCGATTCCGTAGCCAGTCTTCCCCACTCAGGCTCTGCTCTTTATCAACTGAAATAAGACATTTTTCCTCTTTTTTGAACTGTAAGACAATCCATGTAAAAATTTTATTTTATAGATATCTAACCCAGATTAGCTATAAAATAAAAATTAGCCTGAATCCTCCAACAGTAGGATAATAGCATTTTTGTGGTCTTAGCACCTTTATTGTACATAGTTGGACACTGTTGAAATCAGATTGTGTCAACAATTCTGTGTTTTGCTTCTGCCCCCCACAACTGATAAGAAGATATTTTAAAATCTTGGTAAATATCTTTTTTTTTTTCATATTCTAAACTACCTAGTAGACACTTTGCAGTTGTTTGCAACTTTCAGATAACATAAATAATGATCAAATAAACACCTTCTGGCATAAAACCTTGTTCCCATTTCTGATTATTTGCTTAGGATCCCTAGAAGTAGAGGACTAGGCCAGAGGTCATGAGCATTTTTTTTAAGACTCCAGATACATACTGTCAAGCTCTTCTTCACACATTTACCCTCCCACTCTGAGCAGAACCGCCTGTTTCGTAACATCCAAGCCAGCCAGGGCTCTGTTTATTTTTCTGGAAATTTTTTTCTTGCCAATTCCAGAGGTAAGCAGTGGCCTCACCTTGCACACGGCTTTACACTGAGGTTGAATATTCACAGGCATCTTAGACCTTTGTATTTCTTCTCTTGGACTATGCTTTGACAGGTCAGCTGGAAGCGGACGGCACAAGGGCTTTCCAACTAAACATGCCCAGGAATGGGTCACAGCCCGACCCCATCAGCTGAGGGTTTGGGGCCAGTTACCTGGACTCTCTGAGTCAATCTGCTCGCTGGTAAAATGTGTCAAGAACCCCTTGATCATTGGGCAGGTCTGGTTACACCCTGCCAGGGTGGCCTGTTGGTGCCACTGGCCTGGGGCCCTGCTCTCCTTCCTCAGTCTCCCACGATGAGCTCTCCATATGGCAGCAGCCAAGTGCAGTCATACTTGCAGCAAATGCTTTTCCTACTCGGTTCACCTTTAGATTTAATTACATTTTTGATTCTTAAAAGTTTAATTCAATGTAGCCAAGTTTATTGGTTCATCATTTTAGGTTTGAAAATTATCTTCAGTCTCTATCAAGAAAACTAAAACACCTTCATGGTGTGGTATCCTGATTTCTCTTCTGACTTGGTACATTATTCTTTCATCTGTGTGACATTTATTTTGGTGGGTAGTGAAAGAGCAGAATATGTGCTGATCCCTTCTTCCCACCATGGCTGACCAGTTTACCCAGGCCGAGTCTTCCCTCTGCCTGATCTGGGAGGTCGCTTTGCTCACATGTTATAATCTCACATGAACACGTGTGTGTTTCTCATCTACCTCCTCGTCAGTTCCACAAATCTGCCCACTTCTGGGCCGACACCCCACATGTTCCACTCTCACAGCTTGCCAACATGTTTGTCGTCAGCAGAACATTTCCACTCTTGCTTCTTCTACACGAATTCCTCAGTCATTTTCTTCTAAGCAAACTTCAGAATAGTTTCAAAGTTTGATTAATCATGAAAACATCTCATTGGAGATATTTACCTCTACATATGTGACCACTATGCATCAGAATCAAATTGCGCAAAGCCTGACAAAGTGTCTCGAGGTGTGTAGCCCCATCTATTTCACAGGGTGGGTGAGGTCAGCGCCCGGATCATCCGGGCTCCACAGTCCTGCTCAAGGCCTCTCTGGGGATGGGCAAAGCCCTGCAGGTAAACAAGCACCTGGGTGTTTTCTGTGCATACTCAAGTTAGAGACCCATTCACTAGAGGGACTGCCTTCCCTGAGAACTCCTCTCTTAAGTGCAAACCAGGCTCCACTGAGACATCTATTTAGAAGACAAGTAACCTGTAAACCTAACTTAAGGCAACCTTGTCTAAATAGTGTTGCCAGATTTAGCAAATATCTGAATTTTTGGTATAAATATGTCCCAAATATTACATGAGTCTTATCCTAAAAAATTACTTGTGGTTTACCTGTAATTAACTGGGCATCCTATATTTTATTTGCAACTTTAAGCACTGTTCAAATGTGACAGGCTTGCATGACAAATCGCTGCAGTATGAACAAAATCTCAACCAGAGATTTGTTTATAAAATTTGTTTGTTTATAAAATTCCCAGGTCAAAAAAGAAATGTACCCTTTTAAATTCAACAGATAGGAGCTTCAGGCAAGAATTCTGTTCTCTTGAGAAGACAAGAAAGATGTCATAATATGAAAAATAATAGTGATTATAAAATAAAGCCAAAGCACAAAGGCAGCAGGGAAAAGTTAACCCACCATGGCATTAAAAAGAAGTTCCTGACAGCGCTAGAAGGTCAGGTACAAATGTCTATCTACCGTTCGGAGGCAAACAGTGGCACCTTGCCAGGTACAGGGTAACAAACACGGGGACGAGATTAAAAGGTTTATCATTGTGCTAGCTTGGTTTCCACTCTAGGTCAGTTTTTGTTTGTGTGTCTGTTCCCTAGCCTCCCCCATTAGGGGAGGACTGGGCAGGGGGACAGGGAGGATTCCTGGGTCAGCATGAGGCCCCAGGGGACTGGAAAGGGAAGCTCGGATCCTTCTTTAAAGGTGGCTGTTAGCAGCAAGTGCTCTTTACAGTAGTCCTTGGTCACCGCCATCCACCTCCAGGGGAAAGGGGAAGGGAAAGGATGGGAGAGTGTAGCCCCAAAGCTCCTGAGTTAAAG